GGCAGAGCCAAGGGGGCGATGTGGCAGGAGTCGGCGGAGCACAGGCCTGTCCCCATTGCCAGCACCAGTGACCAGGGCTCTGGTGTAAACTAGTGACGTCAGGACGCCAGCCCCTGTGAGAGGCAGCGGCACCTGCTACTCGACCCAGGTCCTGGCAAGTGCCCCCTGGGACCACCCAGACCAGCCCCTGTGGGAGGGGAATCCACATTGGCTCCACCGGGGGCGTGTTCTGTTCCCCCCACTCCAGGTAAAGCCGCCCCTGAGCGCAAGCACCTTCTGTACAGTACTTGTCCTGTCCCATGTGGGGGCCCACCTTCCCCGTCAAGGCCGCGCACCGGCCCGAGGCACAGAGGATGGAACCCAGGCCTGGCCCACAGCTGCCGCGTCAGTGAAAAAGACTGAAGTAGAAACAGCAGGAGACGAGGAGGTGCCCACCTCCCAGCTGCCAGCTGTGCCCGTCTGGGGCGGGAACCTGGTCCCAAACCCCACAATGCGCTTCCTGACAGCCCTGGCGGATCCTGCTGCTTGTACCACGGCGGCTGGTTCTGCCGGAGTCTGTACGGCACAGGCAGCTGGTCCTTCAGCGGGTGTAGGCCCTTCCGTTGTCCCATCTGGCTGACCCCTGGGAGCTGCCTCTACACCTGGGCCTGGGGGGCTCCTGGGTCACCTGCCAGCTGCTTCCAAACCCACCAAGAGGAAGAGCAGTTTCTTTGAGCTCAACAAGGACAGAGCCACTCAGAGGAGGACAGAGTCGCAGGGTGGCTGGCGGAGCTCACCTGTCGGCCCCGCAGGAGAAGGAGGGCAAACATCGGGTTCCCAAAGCCCATGCAAGTGCCCGGGACGCGCACTGCACGTTTCCGGAGCAATTACCGTGTCAGCTCTGCTCTGAGTTGTTGTTTTAAATATGTCTTTATTAATTTTAAATATACTTTTAAAATTGATTTCAGAGAGGAAGGGAGATGGAGGGAGGTAGAAATATCAATGATGAGAGAGAATATTGATTGCTGCCTCCTGCACGGCCCCCACTGGGGCCTGAGCCCGCAACCCAGGCGTGTGCCCTGACCAGGAATCAAACCCTGACCTGGTTCCTGGGTCCTCGCTCGACCACGGAGCCACGCCACCAGGCTGCTCTGAGTTCTTACCGCACATGAACTCACCCCACTCACTGGCACCTCCAGGCAAGCAGACTGCTCAGCGTCACACCTCGTAGCTGCAAAGCCAGGTTATTGAACGGATCCTTACCCCCTAGAAAAAGACCTGGGGACGTCGCCCTGAAGTAGAACAGTGACCTCTGGGGAGAGCACGGCCTGGCGTGTGAACGTAGAGAACGGTGCGCTTCTCGTGTAACGAAATGATCTGTGAATTCGCCGTGATTTCTGTCGTATTTTCTGTTGCTGGGAACCAACTGCCAGGCTTGGCGGCTTCACCCGCCACCACCAGAGACAGACTCAGAGACACAGCGCGAGCTCTGAGGGCCACCCGAACCCACCCTGGAAGACAGGATGGCAGCGGGAGCTGGGGCTGGCGGGACCTGCTGGTGGCGCCTGGGGCCCATCTGCCCACGACTGAGGGTCCTTGCCTCCTCTGGGCTCTGACATCCTGGCTGCGAACCCTCAGAGCAGGGCCCTGGCTGTGGCCTCCCTGCCCTGCCTTCCCAGGCCCTCCTCCAGGTGGCGCCGCGGGACTGGGCATGGGCAGCGCCCCTCAGTGCGGCTTCCCAGGCAGGGTGATTGCAGGGCACCTCTGGCCAGTGTAGCTGGGGAGGACAGAATTGGGCACCTGGGGCTTGGGCGAGGCTGACTGGAGCCCCACAGCAACCTGCCCCGACCTGGGCTGGCTCTGGTGTGCACCACATGCTGCCCGACCCCACAGCGACAGGGACGCCAATCCTGGGCAGCTGGCCCTGCGGCCCCTCCCCTGCTGCTGTCATGGCTTCTCCCTACTCACCCCATTAGAGCCACAGGCCAGGAGCTTCTCCGCCCGCCCCCCAGCTCCACCCCTGAGATGGGAGGGACACTGAGCCCAGTTCCCAGAGGCCTGGGCCCCGGCTGGCAGTTCTCTCAGCCCACAGACCCTTCCGTCCAAATGCAAGTCCCCTGTGCATATGGGAACCCCCCTCAACACAGACGGGGTGGGGGCTTGTCCTTCTGTTCTCCCCACAGCGGCCTGAGGTCTACTTTCCTCCCCCACCCACAACCAGGCCTCCCTGCCGCCCACAGCCAAGGTTCCAGGCCCCTGGGTGTGGGTGTGGCCAGTGGCAGCTGGGCAGGCGGTGGGCAGGCAGTGGGCGCGCAGGCTGAGGGGAGCCACTCCAGCGGCAGCTGGGCACCACTTAGGCAAGGCAGCACCCCAGGGGGGTGGCTGGGAGCCCGGCAAAGGCCCCTGGATCCTTCACCTGTGTGGCCTGCACTTTGGGGGACTGGCCCCAGGTCACTGTGAGGCAGGCACACGTGGGTGCCGGGGAGGGCACAGCAGTCCACCGCCCGAGGTGGCCATGGTCTGCAGGCTGCGGCGGGCGACCTGGGTCCTCGTCCATCTCAGACTTCTGGATGAGGGCTGGCGTCGGAGACACGTTCCCACAGCCCCTCAGAATCCTGTCCCCACAGCCCACAGGGAGGAGTCACGCCGGGTCCCCATGTTTGCCCTGAGTTACTGTTCATTCTAGCTGCCCTCAGAGCCGCCCCCCTGCTGGCTCTGTTTTTTTTTTTAATATTTTTTTATTGATTTCAGAGAGGAGAGGGAGTGAGAGGTAGAAACATCCATGATGAGAGAGAATCTTGGATCGGCTGCTTCCTGCACCCCCCACACTGGGGATGGAGCCTGCATGTGCCCTGAGCAGAATAGAGCCTGTAACCTCCTGGTTCACAGGTTGATGCTCAGCCACTGAGCCATGCAGGCCGGGCTCTGCTGGGTTCTTGATTCTCCAAAGTGAGCCCCACGCCGCCCGGGAGAGGGTTGGTTTCTTTTCCCCGCTGTGGTCTGACTTACGTAATAATGTTTGAATTCGTACCCACGTGTCTCCCTGGGCACTCTGGCAGGCGCTGCCCTAATTGTGGACAAAGCAGGCTGCTCAGCTTGCGCAGGGACGCGTGTGTTCACCAGAGGAATTTGAATGCCGGGAGCCGGTCCATCCTTGCTGTTTCAAGGGACCTGGCGTATATGGCATACTGTCCTTAATATGTTTGCTCACCTTCTTGGCACTATGTGTTTTAACCAAGGTCACCTCTCTGAGAAAGGTTGTTTCCTCAGGTAGGGATTTTCCCCTGAAGTTAGGGAGGGAATAAAACCCCTTAACTAAGTG